TAAGCTGTTCCAAGTAAAGCTGCCTTTTGCAATTGACTGATGGTGATTTTGTCAATGCCGATGGTCTTCAAGTGGTGCTCCAGATGTTTTGGGCTTGTACCTAAGACATCTATAACTATTGATACTATCTTTGCTTTCTTTTGCCATAGTTCTACTTCTATTTGCAGGTCTTTATATTTTGTGATTTTCTCCAGTTCTTTCTCTTCTATTCTGCTGTCTCCAGGTATTGCAATGTCCACTATCCAGCCTTTTTTGTCTTTCTTATCAACAATTGTTGTTATTAATAATAATAATTTAATGACTGAAATGTCACAAAATGTTAGGTGAGATTGCTCAAATTGTTGCATGAAATTACCTATACATATATTTCATATATATACACTTGTACATACACCCACAAAGGACCCTTTTGAAACACATTACAAAATTGCCGAGTAGTCCATAACTTAGAAGTGCTTTATGTATTTTAAAAATACCTTAACAAAAGTATATTCTATGCTGGATATATTCCATGGGTTGCCATGTGTGGTATAGATGATTGGAGATGGAGATAGAGGGAGAGAGTATGTACAGGCTAGGAAATGCAAGCAACATCAAGTTATGGATGTCTGTCAAAAATATCCAGCACTGGAAATCATCACTAGTTATTTTTTTTATTTTTGACAATCTGCACACAGGTTGTACATTAATAAAGATTTTGGACTCAAGTAATTATATGAAGAGCTCAAATCTTCAGTTCAAATTCAGATTTGTGTTACTGTATACGCTACAAATAAAGAAGATGATTTGCATTTGAACTACACAATTATCAGAAGAAAGGCTTACCTTTGGGCTGTTGTCTTTTACAAGAGCACTAAAGAAGTAGACTAGACTAATGGGTGCGATCTTAACATCATTTCTAGCTCTAGATATGTCCTGCTTTCCTTTCATTTCAGAGATAATTGATAGCTCATTATAGAATTGAGCAGACTGGGCCAAAGAGTCTGGCAGGACAAAGAAGAGATAAGTTGTTCAGATTTGGAACTTTAGCACAAGTTGTAAAATTTAACTTCGGCTATTAGACAATGCTTTTAAGTGTATATTTTTTCTCAATTTTGCTAACTGCATATCTTCATGAAAACTTCTTAGGAGTGGGTAAAAGAATGGCCCTATGGCAGTGTTGTCCAAAACCCGCCCCCCTTAAATAAGGTGGGCTCTACATCCACCAATTTCCCACGACACAAGGCTGGGTGGTGGGGTTTGTTGGGGT